CAAAAATCACCCAGCTGGGATTTTTTAATTATAATTTTCAGTAAAATTTACTATCTCAACATAAAACACAACCTGAAACAGAAATACACATGTACAAGGTTAGACACATTCAGAAACTAACATTTAACATAGACTCATTCCACCCCTCCCACATCCATTTCACCACACACCTGCCACATTGGCAGAGCACCCCAATTCCTGAGCCATCCCTGGAACTGCCTCACTGTGCACCTCAAAACAACATCGTCGCTCCATCAGATTCCAAAGCGTCAGCCTTCATAACCAGGAGCCAAGGCAGGCAGTTTACTACACACATCAATCACCCTCAGTCTCCACTTCAAATTGCACACTCTGGCCAAACTTGCTCCAGGATTTTCTCTGGGGAATCCAAATCACCCTGTATCACCTGCAAAACAACAACAGAAGGGACTCTACTCCCCATTCCACACAGCTACTGGCTATCCAAAGAAACAGCCCATACAACCTCCACCCAAACAGGCCATGCTAGTTGACAGATTACCTACACTAGGACTATTCCATCCCAAGAGGAATTGCTACACACACTGGTGAAGCGGCTCCACCTCAAACACACAAACACATGCTCTACAAAGAGGACCTAAGGATGCAAGAATACCACACATGGCAGAGTTGATGTTAGACCAAAAGACAGCCTGACTAAGCACAGTGATGCCAAGGTCACATGGCACAGATGTTCCCATATGGCCTGCCATGTGAAAGTGCCCCAGCTCTGGATGAAAGATGGGTGATGAAGCCACAGTGACTGACCAAATTCTGGGAAAGACTTAAGACTATGATGACACAGGGAAGACAACCCTGGGAAAACTCTCAAGAAAGAACTATTGAGACAAGACACGACGGTGAAGCCTGACAGATCTCCAAGAAAGACTGGCCAAACAAACATACAGTGCTAAACCGGACTGACAGCATCGAGCTTCTACATCACGCCGCGAAATGAGACAAGCTTCATCAGTGCTACGCAATAACTTGAGCACTGGCAAAGTTTTTTTATTGATTGACAATAAATTTTTCAGTAATTGGAAAAGTTTTTTTGTACTATGTGGATGGAGATAAATATTCCAACCACAGCAAATGGACCAGGTTTGATTTTTTTGTTTCCAAAGTGATGAACAGTGTTGTATAAGTAAGTCCTCAAACTGTTGGAAGGGAGATTGCTATGCATACGATACCCCAAACACGAATCAGAGACATTTCAAGAGAGCACTCTGCATTCCTGGTTCCCTTGTAGTGAATCAGCTAAGGTAAAGCACAGTAAATAAACAAAGTGAAAGCAAAGCACTCTTCCAACTCCCTTTCAAGACAATATTACCTGGACAAATCTCTCTCACCACACTAGGACCTATACAGGCAAGTGAATCAGCAAAGAGGGAAGGAGTAAGGGAGGCAGGCAGATACCTGAAGCAGGGTGGCAGAGAAGGGCCAGGATGCAGAGGACGGACAACTCGCTACAACTCCTGGTGCCTGCAAGAGACCTTCACTGCCCCGATGCTTCTCCCTCTGCCTGCAGGACCCCCTTGGATTCCCTCCCTCAGCCAGATCCTCTTTGTCAGCTGCCTCAGGCAGGCATACCCAGGCAGCCCCATTTTCAGAGCAGGGCCAGCACGACTGGCCACATCTGGAGCCCATCAGGAAGAGGGGGCACTGCCAAAGCCCCACAGCACATGGCTCCCTCTCCTGTATCCGGCCACAGGCATGGGCTCTGCACCCAAGGGCTGCAAACACATCCAGGGGCACAAAGGAGGCAGGAAAAGTTTATTCATTAACAAACATTAGAAATCCCAGCAGTGAGGTGGCTACAAGGCTCAGTGCCCAAATGCAGCAGGACAGAAGGAGAAAAAGGAAGAGAAAAGCAGGAGAAAGGACAGAGTGACACAGGGAAGAAGCGTGGGACAGGGAGCCAGGAAAAGAGATGCTGCAAACAAGAGGGAGACAGGGAGCAGGACAACTGTGAAGAAAGAGGAGAGCAGAGAGGTTGAACCCAAAAACCAGAAAGGAGACGGAGGAATAAATAAGAGATAGGGAGCTGGAAGGGCCCACATGGGGGAGAAGATCACTTGTGAGCGATCCTAATTAGCAGAGTAAAAAACCCTCCCTTGAGTAGGCAAAGCCCCCTCCCCACAGAACATGCACCACAAAAAAGAGGACATGTTTGTTTTAAATGAAGATGTCATGGTACAACCAACAAGGGTGACTAGGTATGACAGTAAAAATACTGGTAGCAGTTATTCTCGATGTATGCAATACCTACTGTGTGTTAGCAGAGGTGTGCTGGCTTCATGGAATTACCACCTAGCAGACATGAAATAAAAACAAATATATCTACTCTGTGTGTTGATCAGCTCTTTGCACACCAGGTAAAGAACACGACTTTGGGAGAATGCTCCCCCTGCCTCTGGGACACCTTGGCAGTCATTCCTGGAGCCACGCTCATCAGTCCAGCAGGGAATGAAAAGTCGGTTGGGTGGCTCTTGGAGACAGGCTGCTGGGCAGAGGTGGAGGCAACCAAAAATGAGTGGCTTATAAACACATTTTCTGTAAGTTCCCAGGAGCTGTGTTTTTTTTAAAAAAAAAAGTTTCCATGTGATGGTGTTTGTACCCCTTTCCATTCACGCACTGTAATATGAGCGAGTACGGCTCAATAAATATCCCTTATTAACAGATGTGTTATGTATTTACAGCTCTGTGTGCCCTTCTGCCGTCCTCTGCCCATTGGCTTTATGGCTTAAATTGTTGCAGATGGGTAATGCCTCTTCCCCCACCCCTTACACCCCCATCTCCACAGGAAAAGCTTCAGACTCTTCTCACTATCAAACTGCAGCTTGAGCCACCATATTTTAAGACCTGGCTCAGATCTTTGTCAAGACAGGCAAAATGGGGTCATTCATCTGAAGACCCTTAAATGACCGACAGCTCTGCAAAACAAAGAGCTCATGGGGGGACATGAAGGCAGTAAATACAAGAGGTAGAGTCAGGTGGTAATCGCATCCACACGGTTGGTTTCTAAGGGTTATCCTGAGAGCCAGGGGTTTGGATTGGCATTTTGGATGGGAGAGGGGAAAAGGGGAATCCCTAAGAACAGACATGGTGCTAATTGAACAGACAGGGAAGTAAGGCGTGACAGAACCACTGTAGGACAAAAGGGAAGCAGCAGGCTGAAGCTGAACTGTGCAGTCCTTTTGTGCTTGTTTATAAAATTAAACTAGAAATATCAGAGCCTTTGTAGTTGTAAACAGACTCTCAGGGATCTGCATGTTTTCTTTACCTTCTTACGGTGCCTCTGTTGTTTCCATCTGCTTACTCAACAGAACAACACACACAAAGTAGTAAAGGTAGATTATTTGAAGATTGGCATCACATACTTTCAAGTTGCATGATCTTGTAGTCCTGTCAGCCAAAAAGCCTTACTTTCTGATGGTTTACTGCAAAATTATCACTAGATGATTTTGCAGTTTCATCCCCAAGAGGTAAGGAGTGATTTACCAAGTGGACATAAGACACATGCACTATAGAGGTGACAAGTAAATACATTATGAATTTCAGCCTCTCTGCAAAGGTACTAACAAAGCCCCAGCTTTCCATGCCCTTTGGCTGTTTGCAGAGCCACCTAATAGCCTGATCTCCAGAAGGACCTCATGAAAACAAGCACCTAACAGGCCAGTGGGATGTAGCTTGTTTCACAGCTGAAGTTTGTTATTCATAGCTGAGAAAACTGAGGATGCATCACTTCCCTGCTTGGCTGTTTATTGCTCAGCCACTTGATCCATTTATCTGGTCAGTGAAAAGTGGCAAGGCAAGACATACAGTCTGCACCTGGCTTTTAGACTGTGGCCTGTATTTCTCACTTCCTAAGGGACTACCAAGCAAGTCTGCTTTTCCTTTTCACTGTCTTCACTTTAGCTCAAATGACTTGGCTCAGGTCAGCTTTGTTCCCTGCTTGCTGTTACATAAATTCAGCTGTCGTGACATCACAAGCTTTGCGCCATGGCAACAACAGAACTTTGCCAAGGGAGGGGTTGGAGGCAGAGACAACAAATCTTGAACTCCGGAGGGAGACTGTGAGAGCTGCGTAAGTATGCAGGTGCTTGCTGTTACATAAATTCAGCTGTCGTGACATCACAAGCTTTGCACCATGGCAACAGCAGAACTTTGCCAAGGGAGGGGTTGGAGGCAGAGACAACAAATCTTGAGCTGGATTTGCAGGTATGCAGGGAGCTGGATACTTACACAGTCCAGCCTTGGGAGCGGAACTGGTAACTTCTTGCATTGTGGTTGTTTGCCTACATGTTTTACCACTGCCCAGTTGGTCTTCTAGCTCACCAGCCCTCTCCCTGCCTGTTGGAGCACAATGACCAAACAACCCATTTGAACCTAGTGATGGAACATCCTACATTGGTTATTACTCTCAACAGGGATTTACCTTAATCTATGGCAGGGTCCTACACTCAGATGATTGTCATGGCACAGTACCCCAGAAGGATAAGCAAAGTCATTTGCACTAGCTTTGTGCTGACAGTACTGTTCAAATATGTACATGCCTTTGAAACTCTAGGTACTTTTAGACAGTAGGCAGCCAGCCAGCCACAAACTATTATCAATTACAGCTGATGCTAACTAAAGGTTTCTAGAGGCTGTGGCTGCTCTGTCAGCAGCTGATACCATTTCACTGTTTAGCTAGACCAAAGGCTAAAAAGTTGAGATGTGCTTGTGCTGCAATTTTCTTCACCCACTGGGTTTTTTTTTTTCCTTTTAAAACTATAGTTTAGACCCAAGAGCTTGTTTGACCCTGACAGCTTGCGTAGAGAGGCAAAGCATTTTTTTTTTTTTTTTTGCATGTGAAGCAGCAACTTTTATCCATTTGCTTGGAAGCCTGTTCTGTTGGTAATGGCAAGAAATCTACCCACAGCTTTCTTCATCTAGGTTTGGCTCAACACCCAGAAGATAAGTGAAAACCTGCCTTCTCAATGGAAGATGACAGTAAACCTGAGCAGAGTTCCTGGACCCATCTACCCGATGTCTGTCTGAGGCATGTCTTCCATTGGTTAGATGACAGGGACAGATCTCAGGCTGCCTTGGTCTGTAAAAAGTGGAACTGGGTCATGTACTCGGGATCCCTCTGGAGAAGCAGAACCATTTCATTCTACGGCCGACCATCGAGGGCACACACACTGGAGTTAAAGAGTGCACTGTGGCATACCAAGAAATTTAGCAAGTATTTGAAGCACCTTGAGATCAAGTTATTGAATCCGTACAATACTAACATCACCAAACGTTTTCAAGGGACTATAAAAGATCTTCTTTCACACCTGGGTAACAGCCGTCTGGTATCACTCAGCATTGAGCATCTGCGATTAAATTGCTTGATCTGGAATAATGCAGTCAAGGCTCAGTTTATCAACAACTTAGCTACCTTCCTGAAAAGGAGCAAACAGCTTGATTATCTCAACTTAAAAGGAGCAAGAGTAACCTTGGAAGAAGGCTGCAAGCTTCTGAATTCTCTGAGCTGCTCTATATCCAAACTCAACATTGAAGATTTCTTCAGTATCCACTCTGCTGCCTACAGCAGCACCTTGTTCCACCAAACTATGTCCAAGTTCCACAGCATCGCCATTCTGACTTTCAATTATAGCTGCATCTCCAATGAACTGCTGGACACGCTGCGGGAGCATAGCGCTCATTCCCTGTGTACCTTGAATATCAAATGTCACATCCATGACCCTCATGGGCATGAGGTCTGTGGAACATCATGGACAAACTTGGCCAAGAGAGCTCCAAAACTGATTGTGAACTACGTCTTTCAAAGAGTCATGAAGCACAATGATCTAGCCAGGATCCTGCTAGCAGAGATACCAGTCAGGAGCATCAGTTTACGGAGCTGCTATTACAGTGACCCAGAATGGATAATGAGACCTACCCTCACCAACCTCCTCCCAGCCTACCGGCATGTTCTGCAGGTAAGGGAAACAGCAATGGTATCTTACTGCAGTATCACAAAGCTAAGCTAAGGAATCATATAGGCTTTCTTCACAACAGCAGTCATCCATAGGAACTCCTGAACACTTCAGTTTTATGTTCAGAGGGTAATCTTCATAAGTGAGCCATCCCAGTGTTCCAGCTAGAGTCCAGTTCAAGTAAATATCCTTGTTCGGTTAATCCCCATTATACTAGCCTTCACTGTCAGGTTGCCCTCATAAAAAGCTGAAATCACACAAAATACTCATGCTTACAATGTTAGCTGTGAGCAAAAAGAACCTTTCAGGCAGGAAAACAATTTTTGTAAGAAAGCTTTAGGCTTATTCTGGTTAGACACCTCCCTGTTTAGTAACTGATATCCTTTCAGATTTTTCTGAACCCCACCCTTTTGCAGGTAAATCTGCATATGAGGAAAATAGTCTGTACACCTTGTTTGCTTACAGAACTGCAACCTACATTGATGGTTTTGCATCTGTTTTGGCAGATCACCGATGTCTTACAGCACATGTCAATTAACTGGCACCCTTGTCAGAGCACTTTGGTGTCACCAAGCATGTGTCACCCAAAGCGTGCAACAGCTGATCCATGTAAAAGAGCATCAGGTCATTGCACGCCTGTATGGCCTTACACCTGACAGTTGCTGACAGCTTGCTTCCAGTTCTGTGGCACTACAGGGTTTCCAATAAACATCAGAGATCCATAAAGCTTTCTAGAAATTGTCTTTGGATCTGGAATAATTTCCAATATGGCAAATAAGATCATGGCATGAGCTGTGGGTATAGCATCATCTAACGGTAACAGAAGTTGTGTCTTGTGTAGGTAATGTACAAGGGACCCCCCCATCTTAACAGGTTAGAGATTACTGCAGCATACTGTTGTCATAATACAACATTCTCCGCTAAGGTACAAAATTGATCTGCTGAGAGTCACTTCCATTGGTAAAACTGGGAAACTGTTTATTGAGTTCTAGTTACTGCGTTCACAAGCTCTGTTCAGTAGTACTAAGTGTTCGTTCTTTTTCAAGGAGCTGACACTTGAATTAAACAATTACCGTGAACTGATGGATGATGAGCTGATACAGCTCATCTTATCATGCAAGAGGCTGTTATTTCTGAAAGTCTGGGCATTTCTAAGTGTCACCTTTATGGAGAGGCTGCTACAAAACCGTGCAGAAAGGAAATGCATTTTGACTACCATAAAGGTAAGTCTTTGTGCTTCCATTCCCTTTCTCTCTCTCTTCAATACCCAGAGAAAGGTGAGGTCCCCATGCCCAGAAAAAGGTCACTTATGGAAGTGTTACTATAACTACCTTCCTCACATTATGTTTTTGCATTATGAGCCTAAGAACCACTCACTGAAATGAGGCTTTCCAATCTACTTAGCCAAGTTATTAAACTTCTGTAGCAGTATTCTGCACAAGCCCCAAAAATTCCACAAGTCCTTCCTAGACTGGGGTTCCCTTTGTCACCTCTAGCTCAAGCTAGAGATTCCCAGTCACCTCCCAGTCCCAGTGCTTATGTTTAAATTGAGGTATGTGGGTTGAATCCCACTAAACTGCAAAGACAAACACATCTCACCCTGCAGGGATGTTGTGTTGAACTGCAGCCAGACCACAACTGTAGCTGTTGTACACCATGATGTTACGCTACTTTGTGTACTAGATTCTGAATTCAGTAGAACCTCACAGACCTGTGCAAATCCCAGGGATGCATCAGTTCTGGGGGTAAAAGGAACCTTGCTCTTCCCAAAAAATTGTTTGGCAGATGATGTTTGGAGCGAAAGAGTAAAACGTCAAGATTTCAGTCAAACCCAAGAAATTTGGCTTCTCTAGATTCCTCATTACTCACAGAAGCTTCTTGTTGCAAACTTTAATGGGCTGAGCCTGCTCCCTGTTTCTGAGACATGACTGTCATTCATGCATACAGGTCAGGATTTACACAACCAGACAAGAGACCAGCGAGGAAGATCAGCTGTTGGACAATATTTACAAAAAGTTTAAATGTCTGATTGATTCAGAGCTTAATTATTTTGTCACCACCAACACAATGGTGTGAACCACAGTTCACAGAGGAGAGGCAAGAGACAACTTTACGCTCCATGCATTAAAATGTTGGACTTGGGAACTGGCCTCCTATGTCTCCAGCATCATTTATTCTTGCCCTTGCTTTATTTTTCCTTGCCAGAGCCAAAGGAAGCAGTGAGACCTTTTCCATTTTTATAGACATCTCTAGTAAAATTAAGACCCTTGTAACTGTAGAGCTTCAAGCACCTTACCAATGAAGCCCACCTTGCTGTTCCTATTTTACAAATAGGCAGAGACATGGGTGAGGAATTGATCAGCTCAAAGTCAGCCCTGGCTTGATTTCAACTAGGGTGCAGTGAGATGCACTATCCAGGGTATCACCAGTCCCTACCTCCTGCTTGATTTACACGCTGTGCCCAGTTCTTAACAGCAGATGTTAAGAATGAAACAAACCATGGCTAGTCCCAAGAGTCACCTCTCCTGTTTGCCCAGCCTTCCAACAAGCAACTCGTGAGGAGACTCCTGCCCTAGCTTCCACAGCTGCTAGACATTTCAATGGCAAAAGATACCATTGGTTGCACACAAGATAAACACGTGAGAAGGGACATTTCTTCTTATTCTCAAATTTTATTGCCAAGAGGGAGATTTCATAAGGCATTCCAGAGCCTAGATAGCTGTGAAACAGATAGCTGAAGTACTAAGTCTGTTTTAATTACCTTGCACAACTAGAACCAGGACAGCATTGATCCAAGCCAGTAAGCCTGGAGGTTTGTCAAGAAAACTTCAACAGGAGTTCTCTTTGGAACACAATCCCCACGTATGATGGCTTCAGAAGCTGTTAATGTAAAGAGACTCTCTCATTTGCATGCAGAGCACTTCATCAATGTACAACACATTCTCCTTGGCCCAGATGTTCTCCTCTAAGAAAAGCCATCACCAGTTCAGACCTGTCAGCTCTGTCTCAGCCTGTGCCAATGTGTTCCTTAATCCAAGAGGGAAAATACAGACAGGCACTAGTTGAAAACACATGGATAGGTGTTTTCTTAATATGGGATAAGAATTCTGAGCAAAGTAAGAGATGGAAGGGGATTCACATGACAATATCCATGCAGCTTCCCTTGAAGTGCCCTGACCTTAAGAGAACAGCAATTCCCAACTTCAGGAAGAGTAGCTGGGACCCATTGTCCCTTTGGCTCATTAAATTAACCCAGTAACCTATACCACAGATTTTCCTCTCTTTCACCATTTCCACTTGCCTTTGAGTATTTTTTGTAACCCCCTGAACTTCACTAATCAGCCTGTATTGCACTGTGTCATAACACAATTCCATACCATGTGATGGTTTCTTGCTTCCAAGCATGTTTGAGGCACTTTAACGGGTGCCCGCGCTTTATCAGCAACTGCTTTCCTTAAGACTGCAATATTGTTCTCCTATAAGGCTGGCTCATCCATCACCTTAACAAACCCAACAGAAGGACGTGCTGCACACCATGTCCTACAATGGGTGAAATCATCATCTTTAATAGTTACAGTAATAACTACCACAATAACAGTCATTATGTTAGGATGTTATTTTCTCAAAGGATATTTTACAAAGGTCAGCCAGGATGATTTCTTCACTGGAAAGCAGGTGACACTTTTCTGAGTCAAACTGCAGATTTATGCTCAGCAATTAATTAACATAGACAATCAGTTTTCATGAATCAAACTTCAAACACATTGACCCCAATTTTGTAAGTTACTAGGCTCCTGCATCACAATTGTGAAAACTCTGTAGGACCCCCATGTAACTAAAGATTAGCTGTAACTAAAAAAATGGCAGACTGGCTCACACCCACTGCTTTCTCAGCATGTTTCCTCTTTCCAGCCTATTATTCTGTGGTAGCTATTTGTCCATCTGAATCATTCATGCTCTCTAACCCACAGAGAAGGGGCACATTTGACAGGTTGACCACAGAATCATAGAATGTCCAGAGAAGTTGGGAAGAGAGAAGGGAAAGGAGACCTGTGAGGCAGAATGGAACTACTAAATAGACAAATCACAGAAAACTGGAAAAAAAGTGAAGAAATGCAAAAGTTTACTTCTCCAACCTGTGGGAGACTATCACCTTTTAAGAACACGGCTGGAGAGGTGGAGAACTCTAGGTTATAAAGAAATGTAATGGTCAGAGTGAAAGAGCAAGAGAGAAAACCAGACCTGAAAAGCTGAAGGAGGAAATACAGCAGCTAAGTGAGGAAATGAGAAAGCCTAGGAAAGGCTAAAGCAGAACAAAGCATATTGGGGACACTGGTTTAGTGTAGGGTGAAACCAATGCCCCAAATATATGCAAAGTCACGGCAGTTTGATTATCACTTCTCCTATTCTTGCACTATGCTCGTCCAGTGTCCCTGAGAGCTCCTCACCGCAAATGCGGCTAATTCCCTGCGGCTGCCCTGACCCGGCTCGCCTCCAGCGGACAGGGAGC